AAGAAAACAGAAAACATACGTAATTTTTTACCCAGCTATAAACTCATGTTGGAAATATATTTTATTTATATTTTCACCCAAATGACTGCTTCAAATCATATATACTGCATCTGACTTAAAAAATATCTCTGATCATATACTAATATACAATGAAATGTTAAGGGTCTTCTCAGATTAAGACAAATATGTAATGAATTCCAGAGCTAGTAGAAAGCCAGACAATGCGGACCCCAGGAGGAATATTTTCGGGGAATCTTGTAGGCTGTGAGAAGTTTCCAGGCAGAGAGGGACAGAGCTCTTACTGGATAAAAGATACAGCCTGAGAGAAACTCCTGACCACCAGCCTGGTAGTGATCAGGGAGAAGCTGGTTAGCTTTGCCGACTGTATGATGGAAATCAGCCCGTGAACAGAGAAGGTGGTGGGACCCACTATGACCAGCTTCATCAGCCGGGCTGCAGAGTATTGAGCTGGTTGTTGGCTGTGGAGAATGAGGGTTAAATGATACAACTGACACATCTGAAGCCTGGCTTTAGTCCTTCCTTTAAAAGACATCTAATTAAAAAATAATAATTTAAGTTAGTATACAAGGTAGTAGCTATTGTTACGGCATTTTCAAACAAGGTTATTTCAGTAGGTTCTCCTCCCCGCTCATCTCCACCTCCTACTACCCTCAAGCCTCCATGGTTACTCTCCTGCTCCCCAGTCTCCCCCCTTTAGCCTTCCTCATCACGTACTTTCACTCCCTCTTGTTTGTTGTCCTAGATCTTTAGACCCTATCCATACTTATACCCATAGAGATACACGTATGTTAGGGTCTGCATATGAAAAAGAATGCCTTTCTGAATTTGAGTCGCCTCGCTTAATGTTGTGCTTTTCAGGATCCATCCATTTTCCTGCAAATTTCATCATTTATTTTCCTTTATACCTGAATAAAATCTCATTGTCGTCTACCACATTTTCATTATGCAACCGTCTATTGCTTGATATGTATCATTATGCAATTCTATTGATTGATATGTAGGCTGCTTCCATTTCCTTTATAAACAAAAAAATTTTTGTCTTTTTGAGACAGGTTCTCCCTGTAGCCATAGCTGGTCTGGAGCTCACTATATAGACCAGGCTGGCCTTGACCTCACAGAGATCTGCTTGCTTCTGCCTCCCAAGTGCTGGGATTAAAGGCATACGCCACCATGTCCAGTGTATTTTTTTTTTAATCTATGTATGAAAAATCATTTATGTATGAATATTTTGTCTGCATGTATGTAAATGCATTATGTGTGTGCGGTTCCCAATGAGGCCAGAAGAGGGTATTGAATCCCCTGGAACTGGAGTTATTGATGGCAGTTGGCAGCTGCTGTTCAGGTGCTGGGAACAGAACCCCTCGGCAAGAGCAGCCAGTGCTTGTAACTGCTAAGCCACCTCTCCAGCCCCTGGTTCCACTTCCTTGCTGTTGTGAATAGAGCAGCACTAAACACAGGTGAGCTGGTATCTTCACGGTAGCATATGGAGTCCTTTGTGCCTACACCCAGGTATGGCTGGGTTAAAAAAATACAAGTGTTTAATTTCTTTTTTCATAAATAGCCAAGCACAGTCTCTAGTAATGAACACGTCTCAGAAAATCTCACCTGCAGAAACCTCCTTAAGCACTCTGTGGAGTTTTTAGTGGCCTGACTTAATACATATGGCATTCATTAAGTCCAGCAACAGCAACAAATTCTTCTTCAAAGAGCTCCCTGAGCCCACTGTCCCCCTTGAGAAAAGAATGCATTTGGCCCTGTAAATGCAGTAGTCTGCAGGAGGGCTCTGACCAGGGCAAGCCATTTGTTGTTTTTTTCCTGAGAATGTTTCCTTAAACAGTTCATTGGCACCACCCAGTGGCAATATTGTAGAATACAACCTTGAGGTCTGTACCTTTAAAAACATTGTGCGTGTGTGTGTGTGTGTGTGTGTGTGTGCGTGTGTGTATACAGGTGTGGTAAGCACTTTACGTGCTGGGCCATCTTGCTAGCCCAGGCCTACAGGTTTCAAAAGGCAGATCCAAGAAAAGTGTCCTTAAGTTTCTGACCAGTCATTACAACCATATTTTTCCTGTAGGAAACAGCTTTCTTGTGCACGTTGGGTCAGTTCGCACTGTGGTGAGGAAACCACAGCCTTCCCTGGTAACTCGGTGGTCTTGGATAGTCTATACCCATCCTGTTCTGTTCATCCTCCCTACACTTTTTGTAAAAAGTGAAAACCGTTGGGGGCCCGGAGAGATGGCTCAGTGGTTAAGGGCACTGACTGCTCTTGCAGAGGACCCAGGTTCAATTCCCAGCACCCACATGGTGGCTATGAACCATCTTTAACTCCAGTTCCAGGGGAATCCAAAGCCCTCTTCTGACCTCCTCAGCATTGCATGACACGGGTGCACTCACATACATGCAGGCAATACACTCATACACCTTAAAAAAATAAATAAAATATTTTTTAAAAAGTGAAGACCCTGCCGGGCGTGGTGGCTCACACCTTTAATCCCAGCACTCGGAAGAGAGAGGCAAGCAGATCTCTGTGAGTTTGAGGCCAGCCTGGTCTACATAGTGAGTTCCAGGATAGCTGGGGCTACAGGGAGACCCTGTCTCAAAAAGACCAAAAAAAAAAAAAAAGTGAAAACCCTTCATGTTTTTATCTGTAGTCTTTCCATAGTCTTTCAGTGACATCATTATTTTAACATTTTTCCATTATAGCTCTTCATTGATATCCGTCAGGTGGGGGAAAAGTACTGCTAGCGTTTTGAAAATTGAGAAATGACCTGCAACCATCCAATTAATATATAAATCAATTAAGTTCCAATTCTCTATCATTCAAACGCCTATTTCTTAGAGTGGGTTAGAGGCTTTAAACTAAAACCCCATGGTCAGATGGACCTCAGTTTGAATCCCACACCTACCATTTTCTGTGTGACTTTCATAAGTTTCCTCAGATCTCCTGTCAGTATAGTGAAGATGGCAAGCTTGCCTCTCAGGGTCAGGTTTGCATGACGTACCACAGAGCAGCAGATCCTGGGAACCTCAGCTCCATGGACACACCTGTTCCTGGTTAGGCTCTGCAGGTCCCCCGCAGCAAACCAGTACTTCTCTGAGCCCGGGATTCTTCTGCCAAACAAACAACAGTTGTAGTTCCCTCTGGGAGTTTTACAAGTGCAAGAACTTCACTACCCCAGAGCACCAGGCACTTCAAGGGTACTCATCATCAAAACCTACTCCCTTTCTTTCTGGATGCCCTAATCCACTGCAAATTATTCCAGAATTAGTTGTAAAAGGAAATCATGTTTACCCATGGGCATACTCTCTCAAATATACACAGCCTTATTACATTCACACCTTGTCTAACCATCTCTGTTGTCAAAAGTTGACCCAAAATATAAGAACCTTTGGTTTTGGTTTTGTTGGCTTATTAGTTTGTGTTTGAGACAGGATCCCATCTTGTAGCCTAGGCCAGCCTTAAACTCACAATCCTCCTGTCTTAGCTTCCCAAGTGCTGGGATTTCAGGCGTTACACCACCACATAGTTCATAGGAACCTTTGGAAACTTGAGAAAAAGACAGGAAGTTTATCTCGGGCTTGTTATCAGTTATCTCCAATCCCAGGGCAGGTGCCTGGGTTCTTGTTTGCACACTTGTATTCTTACCTGTCCACACCCTGCTATGCTCATGACCTGCTCAGCACAGCAATACCAAGTCCCTGGTCCAATATCACCTCTCCACGGCCAGTGGTCAGCCTTCTACCTGTCTTTACTTTGGATTCATCTCAGAGTATACATTATCAGAAAACTCTTCCCAGGCCACTGTGTGTTATTTCTTTAATCTACATGATCTGTGTCGTTTTCAAACAGAACAGCGTTTGGAGTAACAGGGCAGGCCCGCTCAAGCCTTTGACTCACATGTTTCCTGTTTTGTTGTCTGGGGTGAACCAGGTCAGCATCCAAGAGACATAGCAGCCGAAGTCCGCTCTATATCAAATACAACTCACTCATTCATCTAATTAAAATGGCTTTCTCTTCCCCAAATGCTAACTAGCTCAGGGCCCGTTTTCAGCCTGCTTCCCAGATTGTTCTTAATACCCTGCACCAGCCTTGTGGGAAGAATGGAGAACACAAAGGCGGAAGCCTGTGTAGGGACGCAAGGTGTGTTACCTTTTCCTGACAGTAGCTCTCATCTAGTGGGAACAGCAGGCACACCCAGAGCCCACACACCCCCACAAAGGTCCAAAGCAGACCCCTATGCAAAAGTCAAGGTGTGAACTGGTGGAAGGCAAGGCTACCTCCACAGGGAGAATAAGAGACTTTCAGGCAAGTAGAATTCACCATGTCTGAGTTGGGAAAACAAATGGCAGTTAACCAGGTAAGGAATGTAGCAGGAACAGGCCAGGCTGTGTAGAGTCTCAGAGGAAGAGAAAGGATGGTACATTTGGGATCCATAGATGCTCACAAGACCAGAGGCCAGACACTGTGATATTTTTTCATTTCCGTTGAGAACTGACCTCTCCCCCACTTTTCTTGGCTTAGACACATTTAAGTTATCCATGAAACTTAGCCAAAGGAAAGATGTTTTTCTAGTCTAAAAATAGTAACCCAAATCCAATTTTCCTATCAGTCGCAGCAATTCTTGGCTCTCCTTGGAGCGACAACTGGCTTGTGGTGGGGCGGCAGTGGAGGTCATATTCTTCAACTACAGGAGCTCAGTGACGCAGATCTTGCCCTGTTTTTTTTGGTTTTTTTTTTTTTTTTCAGAAATAGCAAGTAACTTGGATTTTTGACAAGATAGTCAAAATTTTTAAGCAGTACCTTAATTGGGGGGGGGGGGACACGAGCCTGCAGACAGAATGGAACACATCCTCCTGCTGAGTCTCACTCATTGACCACACTTGAAACCCTTGGTTTAAGGGCTAAATTTAAGGGTAAATGCTCCTGGGGTATTTTCCAAATCACTCTTTCCCCTAAATGTCCTCTCCTTGCTTTCCAGAAAGAGATGACAGCCAGGATGTGTCACTAACACCCCACCTCATCAGAAGAAGGAAAGCTGTTTCCATCCAGGAGTCCCCGTGGGACAGAAGTGGCCCTCTCCGGCTGAAATGGCCCCTACTTCCAGGAACAGGAGAGCTGGAAACCCACACAGGGACTTCTGGGGACTCTGAAAGACATTTCCTATTCACTTCCTGTGTTCTTAACCCTCTGAGTGCTGCTAGCCAGGGCCTGTGGGCCAGGCAGACCACGGCGTGAAGAAGGACCGGTCTTGGCCCCTTGGGCTGGGGACAGCAAAGGAGGCCTCTGCTGACGTCACACTCCAGCCTGTGGCCTGCCACCTGAGCTTTACTGGAGTTCAGGTTTTGAGACTGAGGGTTTATCTGTATCTTTCCCCTTGTGTCAGACTTTTCTGTTATTTGTTTTCTAAGTATGAGGCGAATCTGGGGATTCTAGATAGGCAGTTAGTTCTCCTAACCCTGCCCTTCCTCTAGGCTCTTTGGGCGCCCACCCTGGGCCTGTGGCTTAAGCTGTGTGGGGCTTGGACCTGGGAGAAGCATGCCGTTTCCCTCATCTGTGGTTTCACCAGGGTCCACCCCATGTGCTGGCTCATCTCTTCCTCTTTCCATTCTAACCATTAGGAAGAGACTGGTAACTGGAATAAAGCTAGCAAGTTGCCAGTCTGCCCTGGTCAGAATCCATTCTTTGTAGCCACAGTCAGCCCTAGACTCATCTATTGAAGATATTTTTTCCTATTTTCCAGAAGAGAAAAATCAAGTCATAAGTGACCACTAGGATCCCCGAGGCAGATGGGTGATGCAGGGTTTGTTCTTTGTTAAAAGTTAGAGAATCCTGGCTGTCCCTACAAACTATGCTAGCATTTCAGTGACTACAGAAAAAAGCAGTTGGCATTTGTTATGTGTAGATTAAACACCCAGAGTGTAGTAGATGAAATGTCGCCTTCTCTGATTCATTCACAAAACTGTGGTCCTGACACCTTGGACTAGGGAGTGCTAATACTTCCCATATTTTATTTCAGTAAAGTATCTGTTGGTGGAGGGAAGTAGACACGAATGTGTTCAAGCATTTGATGTAATAACAATAGATAAGCTGCTCTGATTTTGTTTTGGTTTTTTATATAGACTATGTTAAAACCACAAAAACCTAGGAAGCACAAAGTATTTGTTCAACTATGAAAAGGCTGACTACATGGGCACAGCGGCCTTCTGAGTGACCCGGCCACGCAGAGCAGCCTTGCTTCCTGTCTCCTGGATGCTGTCTCCTGGAGGCTGCCCCTCTTCACCACGTTTTTGGTTGTGCTCTGGTCTGCAGAACCTTTTTTTCCTCTTCCTAAGAAACTTTTAGAGGCCAAGCTAGGCAAGAGTTTTTGTCAACATTCCTTTTGGCTAAGTGGATTCCTGGCAGCCCTAAGGACCCAGAGAAACAAAAGCCCAAAATTCTCTGCCTACGCACTTGCAACACACAGTACCACAGTACCGCATGGAAATGCAGGATGGTGGGGCTGAGAGATGACAGTGAGGGGCCGTGGCCTCAGGGACTCAGTACCTTGGACAACCACAGAGTTTTGCATTAAGAAGTTGAATATGCCGGGCATGGTGGCGCACGCCTTTACTCCCAGCACTTGGGAGGCAGAGGCAGGCGGATCTCTGTGAGTTCAAGGCCAGCCTGGTCTACATAGTGAGTTCCAGGCCAGCTGGGGCTACAAGGGAGACCCTGTCTCAAAAAGACCAAAAAAAGTTGAATATGTTCCCACATTTCAATGATGCTTTAATCAAGTGGGAAGATAGACTGAAGAAATTTATCGTTTATTTTTAAGGTTATTTTCGATTAACTGTGTATGTGAAATTTCCACTTGATTTAAAAATCTAAATATTTTTTTAACTTCTTGGAACAGTTTTCTCCTGGCTATATTGCTAATTGCACTAATCAACTCTTCTAGAGTAAATTTTGGCAAACTGCTCTTATTTTTTTAAGTACAGGGTATTCCCATTTCTACAGAACTTTGTTTAGCAAATTCTAAAAACAAATTTTTCAGGCTATTTTTAATTCTTTGGCCTGACCTTCTGTGCATCTAATATTGTACATGGAAGATCTTTACAGCTCCTCAGACAACTCTAGACCTGTCTCTGTTTCCTAACCTCGTCTACATTTTTCTATACTTTGGGAAAATTCAAAGTTGAAAGATTGTAATGAGCATCCTTATGTCCTTAACTGCAGAAAATGTTAACATGTCGCCTCACTTTCTCTCTCACGGTAAATGGGTTCTTGTTGCTGAACCATTGAAAAACCAATTGCTGAACCATTGAAAAACAAATTTTGAAATACTTCATTATGCCCCTTCTGTTAGTAATGAGAACATTATCTTAGCCATCTTCAATGTTATCAACTCCAAGAAATTGAACATTAATACAGTCAATACCTAGTATACAATCCAGGTTCAAAATGCTCTGTCTCAAAAAGATTCTTTATATTTGACTTTCTGAAAACACTAATCAAGAACTGTATATTGAGTCTAGTTGTCGTTTCCTTAGTTTGCATGAACAGATTTGTTCCTCGTGACTGTGTCCGTGTGTAGTATAGTGGAGCTTTCATCACTGACATTGCTGAAGAATTCAAGCTGGTTTGTTTGTGGGATGTGCCCACATACTGGAATATTAGTTTTTGCTTGTTTCCTCATTATGAGATTTGAGTTAAGCATGTTAAGGGTGAGAATGCGAACAAGTGATGATACTTTCCTGTTGCATCATATTGGAGAACACACTTGTCTAATTGTCTGTTTTCATGTTATGAGGATTGATCAGGGGGTTCCAGTGTTATTTGACTGATCCAGTCATGTACCATAATTAATTATGAAGCTCTGAAATTCAGTACACATGTTCTGCAGAATATAAGGTTATATATATGTGCATTCACTTGTTAATATTATCAGAGGTCCGCAGCTCCCAAATGTTATGTATTTTGCGGAAGATGATGTAGCAGTGACAAAAGATCCACCCCTTTCCAACTGACAAGAAGAAGGGGAAGCAGGAAGACTTCACGTGCAGACAGGACATGAATGTGCTGGCTTGTGGAAATTTGTGTGATCCTGTAGCCAGAGCTGAACTGTCTATGACTTCTTTTCCCTCAGTGATTTCCCATTCAGACCCATGGTTTGTTCATGGAGCTCATGTGTTCTTGTTGAGGGTGATTGCCAATTACTTTTTAGAGAGAAAATCTTAAATATCACAATAGGTTGTGCCTCTCTGAAAGACATGATTAGAAACAGAATGTCTTGTAGAAGTTCTTCCTTGGAAAAATAATGGAAGGGATAGCTTAGAATACTGCTCTAAATTACTTTTCTGCTTCTCGACCCTCTATTTCCTGAATGTTTTTTTCATTTCTAAGAATCCAGAGTCTCCGAGCTAGGATGAACAGAGGAACTTTGAAGCTTCTTACGCTATTCTTTTTATCTCCCAAACCAGGCCAGTAACATTCCAGGTAAAAACCTGTTCTCCTTTTATAGCTCTTCAGGCATTAAAAACTCTGTAACATCCTCTGTGTGACTCACTAAAGCTTTACATCCTTTAAAACCTGCCAACTCAAGCCAACTCAAGCCCAGATAGCCCTTTTGAGTCTAAGTGCATCTCTTCTCATGCCCTATCTGGAGGAAGGTCCAGAGGCTATACAGGGTAGGTAAACGTTTAGTAATGAGAGTTTTACTTGCATATTACATAGTTGCGAGCTATGCCAACCAATGGTCCTTCAGTTTCTAAAGAATTCTCCCAACGGTGGCATCCTCTTGAAAGTCTTGCTAACCCACTGTTAAACATTTCAATATGTGAGCTAGAAGCCCCCACAAAGCTCTCCCTGTGTCTGAATTATAGACATTGCCCACTGTGAACCTGGTCAGAAATTATTTCATGCCTTCTCCAAACCCTGCTGTGTTTTTTCTACTCCTGACTAGGATTAAAAAGAAAAAAAAAACAAAAAAACTTCAGAATGTTCTTGTCTATTTCTGTCTCCCATACAAAGCTCTTTAACTAGATCATGTCCCAAGATTCTTTTCTTCCTACCTTTAGCAATCCGCATCTCATTAGAACACACTGTTTGGGGGTTGGCTGAGGTTTTCTTTTTTTATTTTCTTCTTTTCCTCCTCCCCC